TGAGTGCTCTTAGCCAGCCATTCCTGCAGGGCATTGCAGCATGCTGCCAGCACCGGCCTAGTCCCAGGCATGGCCCTAGACATGGCCATCCTGTAGGGCCCAGCTCCTGGACAAGACAACCGCCTGGAATGTCCATTTCATTCATAGAAAATGATACAGCGTTTCCCCAAACACTTCACATGCACATGGATTTTGATAAAAGTTTAACTACAAACAGGTTACTTGGAACCATATAACCTTTCTGAGGCATAAAAATCAGACGTGATCCCAAAGAACTCAAAGGTAAAATGCAAACGCACAGCTAACGTAAGTGAACTTTAAGCCTATGGTGAGAGCAACCATATCGCTTTAAAGTCATCTGGCTGGATTCTTCCCCAGCCTGGAGGCAGGCCCCATCCCCTCAGGCCAGTAATGCTTTGTCTTTCAAATGCGGATGCTGTGAGTGGAGATAAGGAGAGAGAACACTGCTCCGGGGCCTCTGTTCCTTGTTTTTATCTTTTCCTCTTTAGAGGATCTCCTCCAGCAGGAGTGCAGGTGACAGTTTGTTTAGCCCAAACTGTTCCACTGCCCAGCTGTAAATTTCTTGCACATATCTTTTAGCTGATTAAGCAGCCATTCTTTGGAAGGAAGATCGTCTATTTGATTATGCTGACAGTTGGTGGCACTATGGCCTACTTTTGGTGTCTGGGGCCCAAATTTAAAGCTGTTTTTCTAAATTTGGAACATGTCTGAGTAACACCATAGAATTTTATAAAACTTTACATGTAGGCTACGTCTAGACTGGCATGATTTTCTGGAAATGCTTTTAACGGAAAAGTTTTCCATTAAGAGCATCTAGATTGGCACGGACGCTTTTCTGCAAAAGCACTTTTTGCGGAAAAGCGTCCGTGCCAATCTAGACACGCTTTTCCGCAAAAAAGCCCCGATCGCCATTTTCGCAATTGGGGCTTTTTTGCGGAAAACAAATCTCTGCTGTCTACACTGGCCCTTTTGCGCAAAAGTTTTTCAGAAAAAGACTTTTGCCTGAACGGGAGCAGCATAGTATTTCCGCAAAAGCACTGACAATCTTACATGAGATCGTCAGTGCTTTTGTGGAAATTCAAGTGGCCAGTGGAGACAGCTGGCAAGTTTTTCTGGAAAAGCGACTGCTTTTCTGGAAAAACTGGCCAGTCTAGACACAGCCGTAGTGTTGCTGCACATGTTTTACCAGAACAATAATGTTCAGCAGATTATGTGGTTTCAGATGATATTGTACAAGGCACACTTTGTACAAGAGCTTGATAGTTTTGTAAAATTGGTAAGCATTTTCGACTGCCCTTCAGCTTCACTGCAAGGCTACTTCTACACTGGCAGCTTCTTGTGCAAAAACTCTTCTATAAGAGAGCATCTACACTGGCATGTGCTTTTGCGCAAGAGCATCCATGGCAGTGTAGACGCTCTCTTCCGCAAGAAAGCTCTAATGGGTGAGCCTGCCTTATCCCCACTACACCACCACCCAGGAGCCACCTGAGGTAAGCAGTGCCCACATCCCGAACTCCTGCCCCAGTCACGAACCCCTTCCCGCACATCACGCCCCAAACACCATCCCAGAGCCTGCACCAAGAACCCTTCCTACATCCCAACTGCCTGCCCCTCTCACACTCCAGATCCCTTAATCCAACAGCCTGCATCCCAACCCGGTGAAAGTGATCTCCTGCTTAGAAAGGTTGGAGACCCCTGGTTTAGGGAAAGGTTTTATTGTTCACACTAAAATCCAATGACTAAAAGCACTGACAGCTGGGTGGCGCACGTCCGCCTTGGAGAGGCTGGCCCAGCGGCTGAGCCTGTGACCTCAGGGCATTGCTCTCCGGGCAGCCCAGATCGAGGGACTCGTTCCACACAGCAGCCAGGCGTCGGCACATCCCCAGTTCTGAGAAGAGCCACCTTGGCTGTCCTGCCTTCTTTTCCCTTCCCCTCCTGTGCTCAGGGACATCAGTGGGGACAGCAAGATGGAGACGAGCACGGCCACTGCCCCAAGACTGCACATGGGAACAAAGCGATCCCCTCTTCAGATGAGCCTCTGCCGCCACACACGATAAAACGCTGCTGCTCTGCCACGCTCAGCCCTCCTGCAGAGCAAAGGGCAGAGACCCTGGGACCAGCCAGGGCAATAAAAACAGCTGCAGAATAAAAACCCGTAACCGAGCAGGGAGGCTGATGCTGCAGCTTTCCGGCCATTTTGCGGGGTAGGGGCTCTTGTGGCGGTTGCTTGGAGCCCCCGCAGCGAACCACCTCCGAGAAGGAGCGAAGCAGAGTACGGCGGGCACGTCCGCCTCAGTCACCCCAGCAGCTGCTCCCAGCGCGTTCCCCCAGCACATGCAGCAGTAGCAAGTGAGTTACTCCAGGCAGGAGCGAGGGCAGACGCCCGGCCAGACCAGTCATTCAGCCTTCACCCGCCTGGACCTAGTGGCAGCAGCAGCTGTTCCTAAGAGAGGGGAGGAAGTTGGAGGAGAGAGAGGACAAAGTTTGACAGTCCATCTGCCTGCTCCCTGCGGCAGGGGAAATTCACGTCCTCAAAGGGGGAGGCTGAAGGGGGCAGAGACTATGGGGG